TGAAGAAACACAGACACACCCAAGCTGAGGGGTAGCCTGCGCAATAACTGAGCCGCTCACTTCAAAATGTAGAAGTTGAGAAAGATGAAAACAGATTGATTAAAAGTGTTCTAGATTAAAGAAGAAAAAGGACCGTTGACAAGAAATCACAAATTGGCTCCTGGACCCTAAAAACCTATCACTGAGGAAGTCTGGAGTAATGGGAATGAAGTCATGGGGTGGGCACTGCTGGTGGAGTAACTGGTTTCCTGGTTCCGACACATCTGCACTATGGTTATGTAAGAAAATGGTCTTGACTTCAAGATAAAAACCGCACTACAGTATTTAGGGGTATACTTTATCAAAACACTGTGTCTACAATTTACTCTCAAATGATTCAGGAAATGTATGTTCAGAGAGAGAAAGAAAGAGAATCTCAGTGAAGAAATAGAGGAGCTGCTGGTATCTCTTAAAGGGGAACCTACTGTAAATTTGAAATTATTTCAGAATTAAAACTTAAAAAGGAAAAAGAAAGAGCTGAGCTCATAACATCTTTATGGACTTTATCTGGCCATGGCCCCCTGGATCTAGGGGCCTCCTGATGAGTGGGGGACTCAGGGCAGACATTTCCCCAGACCCCCAGTGTAGGTTTTTGTTGTTAAATGCCATCAAGTCAGTTCTGACTCATAATGACGCTGTATAGGGTTTCCAAGGAGCGGCTGGTGAGTTTGAACTGCCAACCTTGAGGTTCAGTGCTTTATCCTACAGTGCCACACTAGGTGGGAATATTTTTCAGCCTCTGTGGGAGTGCATCCTATTACAGGGGATCAGACTGTATATCTGGCACCCTAGGGTTCCCTTCCTAAGGGACAAGATGGTCCCGTAGAGCCCATGGGCAGCGCAGATCCCTATCTGGACTGAAGGAGAAGGGGGTGAGCTGACTGTAAGGGATAGGGAGAGCCAGAGGTGGGCTCACATGTTTTTCAAAGGGTGCACATACACCGCGGACTCAGACGGGGCAGATTGAGATGTCAGCCCTCACCCCATCCCAGGGGTGCCATGAGGGGGGCTTCCGGCAGGGGAGGGACTCCCACTACTCACGTAGTGCTGGCTGGGCACGAATCGCTTCTCGAAGCCCAGGAGGGCGATGTGGCGGATGAAGGTGTCTCCCATGGTGGATGGCGGGACTGTGGGCCTTTTTGCTCCCTGCCGCTCCCAGTCGGGCCTTAAATGTGTTGGAAAGAAGAAGTTACCTCTGCCGGGGACTGGCTGGGTGTGTGTGTGGGGGGTGGTGGGGGGGTGGTTGTTGGGTGCTGTAAGGGCTTTGCTTCTTCTTTCAGTTTCTGGGGAGTGTTCAGGATGGAAGTGGGGAGCCACACACACATACACACACACACACGCACACACGTGCAGGACTGAGCGTGACCCTGGACCCTGTCCTCATAGCTGTTTCTAGAACACACTGCCTTCTCTGACCTCAGGGCTTTTGCACCTACTCTGCCTCCATGAACCTTCTTCCCCACATACTGTGCTCAAATGCATCTTCCTTGACATCAAGTAGTAGAACTTCACACCTCCAAATCCATTTCCATCTTTACTTTTCTCCAGAGTCTTCATGTTAAGTGCTGTCGAGATAGCTCTGACTCATAGTGACCTATAGCCAACAGAATGAAATAGTGCCCGGTTATGGGCCATCCTCACAATTATGTCCGATCCCATCATTGCCATCATTGGATCAATCTGTCTTTTTTGCTGAACCTCTACTTTACCAGGAGTCCTGGTGTGGTGCTGTAGGATAAGCACTGGACTGCTAACCACAAGGCTAGTGGTTCAAAGGCACCAGCTGATCCTTGGGGACCTTATATGGGGGTTGCTATAAGTCAGAATTAAGGAGCTCTGGTAGCGTAGCGGTTATGAATCGGGCTGCGAACCACAAGGTCAGCAGTTGGAAACTACCAGCTGTTCCGCGGGAGAAAGATGAGGCTTTCTGCTCCCGTAAAGATTTACAGCCTCAGAAACCCTGTACAGGGTCCCTATGAGTCGGAACCGATTCCACGGCACATAACAACAACATAAGTCAGAATTGACTCGACAGCACTTAACAAAAATAACAACTTTACCAAGCATGATGTCCTTCTCCGAGGACCTGGTCCCTCCTGAGGACATGATGTATATCCATTGTTCCTGTGAAGGAGCATTCTGGCTGCACTTCTAACAAGATTCATTCACTCATCTGGTAAACCAGTAGTATCGTCGACACTGCAGCTCAAATGAATCAATTGTTCTCCAGTCTTCCTCATTCATTGTCCAGCTTTCATGTGTATATGAGGCCATTGAAAATACCCTGGCTTGGTTCATGTGTACCTTAGTGACATCTTTGCCTTTGAACGCTTTCAAGACATCTTTTGCAGCAGATTTGTAAACACCATTTAATTTCTTGACTGCTGCTTCCCTGAACATTGATTGTGGGTCCAAATAAAATGAAATCAAAGAGGAAGACCTCCAACGAGATGGATTGGCCAAGTGGCAGCATGGATGGACTCAAGCGTGGCAACAGTAATGAGGTTGGCCCAGGATCGGGCAGTGTTTCGTTCTGCTGTGCATAAGGTCGCTGAGTCGGTACTGACTTGATGGCACCTAACAACAATCTTTTGTCCATTTATCATGATGTTTGCTTACTGGCCCATTAGCATTGATTTTTGTTTTCTTCTTTTTTTTGAGGTATACTCCATACTGAGGACTTCTGGTGAGGCACTATAGAGACACACTGGACTGCAGACCACAAGTTCGGCTGTTCACACCCACCAGCTGCTCCTTGGAAACCCTATACAGGGTCGCTATGGGTCGGAATCGACTCGATGGCACTTCACAACAACAACAGTTACCTTTGCTGCAAATAAATCCATGAATGTGATGGAGCATGGTGGTGATGATGAAGGTGGGTGTGTGCCACAGAATTGGTTTCAAACTTATAGCGACCCTGTATAGGGTTTCCAAGGAGCGGCTCGTGGGTTTGAACTGCAAACTTTGCAGGTAGTAGTTCAGTGCTTATCAGAAAGCCTCGTCTTTCTCCTACAGAGCAGCTGGTAGATTTGAACTGCTGACCTTGCAGTTAGCAGTCCAACTCACAGTCCGTCAACCTTCTAGGGCTCCTAATGGTGGAATATACACAGGACAAAACTCTGAATGTTTCTTAGATAATATCAAATGCCTTGAGGGAATGAGTTGCTGGGTCTGGGGGCTCAGACCATAGATAGTTTCAGGGAACACCATGGTCAGTTAGCATAGGAATAAAAAAAAATATACATATATATATATATGTATGTTTTGTTTTTTTTTAAAGGGAGAGGTGCAGGATCCATTCCGTCTGTTCTGAAAGAGAAAGGCACATCTTTCCACTGTCCCTTGCCTGCCTCTGAGGTCACCAGCGAGGTGGTCCTGGCTTATCCTCTCCATTGATGATACAGGATGTCCCCACACAGAATTGCTGCGGGGGGACAGACCCCAGCAGGTGCTCTGTGGGGACTGTGGTGCGGAAGCAAGGTGCTGGTGATCCCTGGGCCATGACAGTGATAGAAAAGCCAACTACGTGATGTGCCCACTTTCTGAGAATTACTCCAGCCCCACGCATGGAAGAGGAGTCCTGGTGTGATGCTGTGGGTTAATGCGCTGGACTGCAAGGTCAGTTTGAATCACAAGGTCAGTGGTTCAAACTCACCATCAGCTCCTCGGAAATACTATGCGATGGAACCGTCTCGACGGCACTTAACAACACGCATGGAAGCTGGGTGGTGATGGCATCATTCCATGACTATCTTCCCTCACTCGGCTCCACGTCTGAAGGCTATTGCCAAAGGCAGGGCTCAGACCTTTGCCTCTCAATGGCTGTTCATCAAGTAATCCCTCTCTGTCTCTGGTCTTCCCTGTCCCCAAGCTGGGCTGCCCAGAAGGTCCCAGCACTGAAACTAGCCACACAGCCTTGTTCACCTGGGCGGGTGGAAGAAGCCTGCTTCGTGGGCCAAGCAGAACCCTCCAGGGTACTGTCATTGGCCCCTGACACTTCCTTCCCTGTGGACTTTCCACTATTGTGTAACTGTCTTGCCCAGGGAGGGCCAGCTGAGTCTCCGAGCTGTGTCCCCAGGTTCCCCCAAGCTTGCAGCCCACCCCAACCCACGCCTTGCTTCTCCAGATGTGCCCAGCAGACCGAAGGCCTCTCTCTGCCCTCTTGTCAGACTGAGGCAACACTTATCTTCATGCATGGATGGAACAAGCAGGGGACTAGATGAGGGAAGAAAACAAAGAATGAAAAGCAGACATGGAGGAGGAAATGCATGAAAGGTTCTTTAATAAGGAGTCCTGGTGTGACACTGTCGGATAAGCACAGAACTGCTAACTATAAGAGTGGTGGTTCCTCGGAAACCGCATTAAGTCAGAATAGACTGGATGGCGCTTCACAACATTGTGAAATAGAGAAAACGGAAGAAAAATGTAGTTTAACTAATTCTTGTAAAACTGTCATTATAAAGCAGACACCTAGGTGTTAGAATACCAGAGCCTTGAATCCTCCTATGTCTAACAGAAAGCATACATCCCTCGTGAGGTACCTTATACTTGTGACCACATCTTATGGTCATAATGAGTCTGTCAGGTTGGGTCTATTATCGCCCTTTTGTAGATGGGGAAACTGAGGCACAGAGAGGGGAAACAAGTTGCTGGTTAGGGCAGAAGTGGGATTTGAACTCAGTCTGGACCTCAAGCCCACACTCTGAAGCACTGGGCTTCCATCTTGCTCTTGAACATGGGGGGTGGTGGGCTTTTGAGGCAGGAGCCAGTATTCAGGAAGGTCCAGCCCCCAGGCCAGGCTTGGCCTCTCATTTGTGCCCTTTTCCTTTCTCAGGAACTTGGGTCTTCCCTACATGGGCTGAGCTGTCCAGTTCCATAACCAGGAAATCCTAGAGGCTGGGCCAGTGGGGGCATTTGTGTCTGCATGTGAGGCTGGGCCCTGCCCTCTTGGACCTCTTTGAGAGAGAGAGAATTGCAGGATTCCTGGGTTGGGATAAACCGTCTGTTACTAAGGGACAATTCTTGATCAAACTGAAAGCCTCCCTGCTGTCAGATCCCCATACCAGTCCTCAGGCCAGCCCCTGGGACCCCACTGAGCACGGGGAGACATGTGGCAGAGCTCGGATGGGTGGTGTCGCCTTGGGCTGGTGCAGGGACAGCTCAGCGTTGGGTGGGCTCTGCCCAAGGCTGGGTGGATCTACGGGTTGGACTGTGGCCACTTTCAGTAAACACTGACTTTTTTCAGGCCAGGCCAGGCTGAGGGCAGTAATCAAAGCATAGAGCTGGCCTCAGGCAACACTTGTGTGACAGACAAGGAAGCTCTCGGGGGCAGGCCCCACTCGGGCTGGGAAGACCCCAGGGACTGGCCTTTTTGTCCTCAGCAGCCACTTCCTGGTTAACAGTGTCCTGACTGAGCTCTGGTAAGTTATTTGAATAAAAACAATCACAGATGTTAAATACACGCTGCCACTGTTGGGGGTTTGGTGGTTTAAACTCTGTATTCCAGTGAGAGGATGGGGCTTAAGAGACACACAGCAGTCAGCTGGCAGCGGGGACTGTCAGAGGAGAGGTATCTCTACCCCTTCCCAATGAAGATGATGGGGGACAGAGGGGACCCTTCACACCACCTTGCAGTGCCCCATCTCACATAAGCAGGGCTTGAAGCCTCGTCTCTTGAACAACAAATGGAACTCTAGGATCATCGACTTCAGAATTTGCTCCAGCTTCCTGGATACACACTGGGGGGAGGGGGCTGCTGCTCCAACATGGTTCTCCTTAACAACTGTCCAAAAGACATTGATGGTGTCCTTATCAGTTTCCTAGTGGATTTTAGTTCACCATAATAGAAGGGGAGGACAAACCCACTATACATCACAAAGCATCCAATCCACAGACCCAGTAAGCTTCCGGAGGCGGGTCTTCCCACAGCCCTTGCTAGAAGAGTGGGGGCACTTGTGTTCAGACCGGCAGGCACTGCTGCAGGCAGTTACTCTAGGGCACTGGGAGGCTTTAAATGAGCAGTTTGGAGACTCCTGTAGAGTGCCCTCCACTGATCTACTCTTGCTTCTGGGAAGGAAGCCAGGCAGGAAACACCTTGACAAACTGCTGTT